TTATCGGCGTATTAACACACGCGAGCCGCGCCGCGCCGCACCGCGCCGAGCCGAGCCGAGCCGACTTCGTATCGCGCTGAATCATCGGAGGCGGCTTTATTAGGCCCCGATGCACCTGCGAGCGAGGCGGAAGCGATGCGGTTCCCATGAAGAAATCCCGCCACCCGTAGGAAACACCGTCCACGTACGTGTACACGGGGCCCCGAGAAGAGAGAACGGGGATTTAACTGTGCGGGGTGAGAGAGTGAGAGAGAGAGAGAGAGAAATTCACAGGGACGAAGAGAAGAAACGCGCGTTCTCCGTGTTTGTCTGACGGCTAAGCGCGTTAGTCTTAATCCGTTCGTCCTCGCTATTTTTTCGGTATCCCCCGTGCGCTAGACTAACAAAACGGTCCGACGTAATCACATGTAACGTCGGTCGATCGTCCCTCTGGGGGAAGGAAGGCAGCGTGAGCCGAATGTCGCGCTTAGAATGTCGAACCTAACCCACGGCATAATTCCCACTCGATGATGAAACGACCTGTGGTGCTATTACAGGTGAGCGGGATTCGTCGGCATGCGCTACCAAAACTCACCCGTTATTGTTCCGCGGTCTTTCTCGCGTCGACCGTCCTCGAGGAATCAAAGGAATAGCAATCGTCCTCGTAGCGCGATCTCGTAACTCGATCTTATAGAACCATATCGGAAGCAACGAATATAAAAATATTCCGCGCCGCATGGATTTACAATCGATCGAATTTAATCCTCTATACAACGGTATATATGTAGCTTTGAAGTCGCATATTCATGTACAATAATGTTTTTTTAATTATGTAATTTTCTTCAAACCAAAATTTTGAGTTATAAAGTTTGTGTTAATATTAATTTTCAATTGATTCTGCGCCAACTAATAGACGCCAGAGACGCTGTGTTCCGACGATTTCGATAACATTCAAAGATAATTTCGTGAGCCGATAATTTCAGAAATCGATCTTCTCGCACCTGTGCAATCATCGGAATGTTCTGCCGGTTAATATTTGACCGCCTTCGTTGGCAGAAGTGTGTCTCGGCCTGCACAATGCGCACACATTCCGCCTTTTCGTGTGTAAGTAAATATGCTATTTATCGGCTCTCGCAATTTTTAACTCGATCGAACGCATGATATATAAGGCCGCCTTTAATTGCGCATCGTTCAATCTGCTCCGTTACTGTTTCTCGACGATAAAGAATCTGTGTTTTTACACTAGATTTCCGTTACGGCTCAAATTGAAATCCTCTTGAAGTACGCATCTTCGCACGAGAATCGCTTTTCGAGATTTTACGACCTGCAAGAATGAACTAAATTTCCTTTTGTTCTTGCCAACGTTTCTTCCGCGAAATATGCTCGCGATGAATATTTATACGTAAAAAAGTTTCTTGTTTCATTAAAGAAATGGCATACATTGCGAGAGAAAGATAAATAGATGACAGACAGAGATAGAGACAGAGGGGTGGGAGGAAAGGGAATGCGGGAGTTCGTAGGGCGAGAGCTGGTTTTCGTAAGGTTGAGCACAGTTTTGGCGATAACGAGCGGATTTGCAATCACGACTATATTGTGCAGGATCCTGCTGTTAGCTAACTTCAAGAGGGATGAAACACAGGCGCTCTGAGATCACAGGGCAGGAGGCTGAATGTAGGATGCGAAGGAGAGGATGAGAGAGAGAGAGAGAGAGAGCGTCGTTTCGCGTCGCGCCGGCTCTCCGTTACCGTCGCAATCGCTCGCGTCTGCTACGCGAAAGGCACAAACTGAGAATTTCAAATCTCCGGCGAACTTGTCGTAGAATTATTTTCTTCTTATTTGTACTTTTGAAGTTTAATTTGTGATAAAATAAACACACGTGCGCGCGTGCCTTCCAATCACTCGCGACTCTTCCGAGATCCACTGTTCGCGCTGCGATAATATCCGATAATTCTTTCTTCTTTTTTTTTTGATAAAAAATCAACAAATCGAAGGATTCGCAAATTAAAAAAAGCACGACAAATCTGACAGCTGATATTTTCGAGGATACTCCGAAGCTTCTTTTACATATGTAGACTCATGCTCAACAGCGAAATGTTCAAAGGAGTTGAAGATCGAAGCGCATTTGTCGCAACATTTCACAACAACTACCAAGATTTATCAGGCCAAGGCCGCTGTTACAGTTTGTCCTTATCGCTTGTGCAACTGTTTCGTATATGGTCCACGTAAACGCGGAGGCGAGACAGATAGTGGCGTTCGTTAAACACTCGCGTCTTCGGTTGAGAGTCAGCGAACCGGATTTTTATAACATTCCCGCTGTTTGCACAGCAGGTGGTTAGTGGTGCGAGGCCTCGACGCGCGCTAGTCCGCTTTTTGAATTTGTATTCTGTTACGGAGAGCTCCGGGTGACAATAGAGAGTCACGGGGTCTCGTGGCACAACCCGGGCCCGAACGCGAACAGGTCCCGATGGGCGATCATTCTAATGATAATAGGATATTTTTACATAGATATTCCCACCCCTCCCCTCTCCCCTCCGGCCAGCGTGACCCAAGACTCCTCTTCAGACATTTATTAGGAAACTCCGCGAGAGCGAAAAGCTCCTTTAATTTAGCGTGAAATATGGTGACCGAGTGAGGGAGCAGTTGACAAGGATAAAAAATGCGAGGGTAGCTGTCGGGATCAAAATATTGTACGACATCGTAGCTAATAATCACGCCCATCAGTGTATTACAGTCCGCTGCGATGGTATCTGGCATGAATACTTGCACTAAAAACGTACTAATACGGATCGCTGGTATAAAAGTATACCGACGTCGGTACTCTCAAATAATCTCGCGACTGCGGCACGTTATTAATTATCCAATTTTTTTCTGGTCGATGCACGTGACCGCCTTTGGTGCGTTCCGTACGGTGACCGTCGACGGGCTCGGCCCGCTCGGCTCTCGATCGCGTCGATTAATGGGCTCGTACGGACGGCTCGTGGATGCCGGGGACCGTCGCGTTGTCGCCTTCGATTTGTTCGGCACCGCGACGGGACGGGGTGTGTGGAACCCCGCGGTTTGCGCCACGAGAGAGAGAGGAATCCTCCGAGCGCCTCGCGAAGAGGGATCTTTGTTCACAGGTTGGCTTCGCCACCGGAATAATTCGACCGCCATTTTTCTCGCTTTATGCCGGGTAAGCGTTACTAATGGCTCGTTCTCGAAGCGGCGCGGGGCGACACGAGAGACTTTGGCGCACGTAGGTAAATTTACACGGTTTTAGCGCGCTCGCTTCGAAGTTAATAAATAAAGGCACTGCGCGCGCGCGCCGACTCACGGAAATGCAAGTGCTCGTATGTGTCTTCGTGCGCCGGGCACGCAGATGTTTGCGAATATTGTGAAATGTCGCAGAAACGATCGCGATTCTTGGTACTTTGCGACAAATTTTCGATAGAATTATGTAACAATTAACGCGGTGATGCAACACGATTTGTATAATATAGTATACGACAGTTCATTGATCGTCCATCTTCTCGCCGGGGGAAGTCGAGCGTTTAAGAAGCGAGTCGTGTTTCACGGATCACCGGTCGCCCGGCAATAAAACACACGGGTGACAGAACCGAAAACCCGTTTGACAGTTTTTCACGACGCGAGAAATTCATATTCATTTTGGGCGTGGACGTGGTGAATACGCGCGCCCGCAGCCAAGCCGAACGGGAATATATATATATATATACCTATAACGCATATATCGCGTGCTGCAGTTGCGCCTGTGTGCGTGGTGACGCTAAACGCATGTAGAGAGATAGAAATTGTATAGGCGGGGAGAGGGATAGAGCACGGTGATAAAAGCCGCGCCGGTCTATTCGGGGATGATTTACGGCTCGGGCTGCGGCGCGGTGAAAATACAAACAGGTGCTCGAACTTCCTCGAAAACTCATATATTTATCCGGACGAAAGAAGAGAATCTATCTCGTATTCTCGATTAGCATAAAATTATATTAAACGTTCCTCCATTCTGTCTTGCTCGACGTGTGAAAGGGGATGAAAATGAATCGATGGAAATATTTAATTTTGTGAGAAAACGAGATGGACGCGATGTCGCCGCGGAGATTTTAGAGTACCTACAGAGCGCAGCTCGTCGTGTACGTGAAGAATATTTCGCGGTGGCTCTCGGCGAACGCAGGGTGAGCGCAGGAGCGCGTCATCACGCATCTACCCCTATATGTCGGAGCTCGGCGCGATATCGGATGTGCCTCCACGACTTCGCAAACGAAGTTTGCGCGAAGACTCGGGCTGGAGTTTGCAGCGAATCACCGCTGAAATTCCATTCGGCAGTTTGGCTGCCGACAATAAGGTACCCCAGGCTCGCGCGACGCGAGACCTATACCGTCTATCGCCGCGCCAGCGTATACACCCCGTCTACCCTGCACACGCGATACTCCCCGCGTCGCCGTCGCCGTCGCTCCGTTCACGACCATGTGCCCCGCTCTCTACCTCCAGAGAGAACCATGGGCGGGCACCATGGGCGGAGCTTATCCGACCGGCTCTCACCCCAACATCCTAGCCGTAGTCGATCCTTTCCCGTGTGCTCTGCCACCTATTATCACCACCTATCTGTCTCGCAACCCCCCTCGTTGTCCGACACGTATGTATGTAACGCGAGTTGCGTGTTGTTGTTGCATCGATGCACAACACACCTCTGATGGTCTCTCTCTCTCTCTCTCTCTCTCTCTTTCTCTGAACGAGATATCGTATCTCGATCGCTGCTTTTTGGTATCTTATATATCAGTAATAGGCAGCAGAGGTATCAACTCGTCGCAATTACGATGTCGATCATAGGACGATCATGGATCTCAAGCAATATTTCTCGCCCGGAGTACAGTCTTATGGTAGAAGGCCCGGCTGTCACAGGCAAGTGTGGGCACACGCGTGCGAGTGTGCGAGTTGTCGGACCATCCCCACGCGTTGCACTTTCATCGCCCATCCCTGCGGCCCGTCGAGCGGCGTGGTAGGGGCAGAACTGAGTATGTCAGTCTTCTCTTAGCACCGACCGGGGTAGGGTGTCGTTCGATTTCTTTGCCAGAGCCCCGCGGTTCTCGCATCTGCGTAAAACGAATGACGGATGATCGGGCCGAGCGAGCCGAGCCGCGGTACAAATCTGTGGTATAGATCGGTGGAGAATCTAGTTCGCGGACTTCGTGGTTTATGCGTAAGAGGAGGGGGTGAGAAGAGACGGCGAGATCGCGTGAGTAATACGTGAGCGGGTATTACACTGCGACAGTCGAAATGAAGAAAAGAAGAAGCGCGTAATCGTGTCTGGATTAATCGCCGCGGCGCAATTATGAAGGTACGTTCTTTCGCTTTTAAATAGTTTATATAATATAATGCGTGTGTGACGAATCTATATACATGCGAGCTGTAAAGGTGTCAAATTTTTCCTATTATTTTTCTGGCAAAATTCTTGAAAACAGGACGATTCGTAAAGGAAAACGTCATTAAATGAAAACGATTTAAATCTAAAAAGGAGTACCGTTTTACTCGTTGAATTAGCCTCTCGGTTGATTAGACAGTATCGATCTACAACGCCAAAATTGCGAGACCACAGGCAGGACACGTCCGGTAGCTCACAGATGTATCCGGTAGTCCGGCAGTCCCGAGATCCGCGCGAGACTGGGACCCGCGGGCTTCACCTCCTTCACATTTCTCACTTTGTCAGCTCATCTAACAACCACCCGCCCCGGCTCGTTGACGAATAAAAAATGGGGCCTATTATTCTTTCTCACCCGTTCGATGATTGCAGAGAGCGCGTTTTGCAAAACGAGCAACGAAAACACGAAAATGGGAACTCGTCAGTTCGCGCGTGGGAGAATATTTGACAGATCTTAATCTTTTCTTTAACGGACGGAGAGAAGGAGGAAGGGCTGCACAACACGTGACGCGAGTTATGTATTTGCATTCGTGGACGTTGAGATAATTTATGAACAGCGAATTCCTGCAGAAACGATATCCGTCAAGTTTGACTGCGCGTGTCTATTATTTTCATTTTGTCACATTAATAAGAATACTTCCCGAATTGTATACAAAAAAAGAAACCGATATATTGTCGCTTTTGCGGCGCCGTAGCCGCAAACGGACGGCTTTTAAGGAACTAAGGGCTAAGATTCCAGGCCGCTGTAAAAATTACCTGTTTGAGCGCCAGGGATATTGGGGCTCTCGGTCGAACGATCATAAATTCGGGCAGGTACGATGAAGTGTCCGACGGTTAAGCCTATTTCATCGACAGGACTCCCTGGGCGTATATTCCCCGTATATAAGACGTCCTTATTTAACGACAAACGCGGCGCCGTGCCACGTATACGTTGCTCGTTCATTAACACCCTGGAAAATTGCGCGCAACGCGCTATTCCCCTTCCCCCTCTAAGCCGCGCCATTTATTTCCGTTAATTTGTACATTGTGCACGCTCATTCACGCGTTAATTCGAACGCCTGGAATTAGCATAAATCCATCTTGATCAAACGTTAGACGTTCGTTTGAAACGTCCGTACAGGCGTACCTGTGTGTGTCTTCCGCTATTCGTATAACTCGTTTCGATAATTTTTTTTTCTTCCATCCAGTCGTCCCGCGCAACTGGAAGCGCGCTTCCCTTCGAGGGCTCTTTGCACGACACTTAAAACTCATCGCCCCGGTGTGCGACGATACTAATAAATCGAGGTATCGCGACGGCGCGCGGCGGCGGCGGCAGCGGCGGCGCGCGGTATGCAATACGGCAGCATATACGCGCGTGTTGTACGCGTATACGCAAAGGTGGTTTCCACACGCGAGAGAAGACAGAGAAAAGCCACAAGGCATAAATCACAAGTGGGAAGTTCAAGCTTCGCCTTCGGGCGAGTCATAAATCAATAGCTGTCCGGTTGTGCACATGAAATGATTACACCGGTCCCGCGTGTAGAATCGAGCGTTGGAACGTGAGTTCCAACGTCGACGACGGGGGGGGAGGGAACGAGGACGGGGGAAGCGGAAGGATCCTCGAAATTGACCGTCGCGGCCGTCAGACATCTGGGAAGTTGACGGCCGTCCCGACGTCGAGGGATTTTCGCATTTTTCCCCGTTCTTCTCACGAAAGGTTCATCAACTCTTCACCTTCCTCTATAACAGTTTGGAAGTATTTTGCTCTCGGCGTTCCACGTTTCCCGCACGTCGTCGGCGAAGGAATCGCGCGAAAGAGATCGCTCGAGGTAATTAACTCATCGCACACCTCCCGGGGCGAACAATAACCCTCGCGCACTGCTCGCGCGCGTGCCAATTAATATTATCGGGTATCACATGCGGATCTGCATACGCGCGATCCGGCGTGCGCGCGTGCCGTGACGGGGCACGGCGAAAGAAATCCGCGCGCGGTATCTGATAGACGATATCTTCGCGTTTATCTCCGGCGACGCCGGCGGATCGTACAATGAGCGCCGTCGCCGTCGGCCTGGAACATCGAACAGCGGAAGAAAAAAAAAAAGTATCGCCGAGGACGCGGATGATATTAACGATCGTTATTAATCGCCGACGTCCACGTAGCTCTAATAGCCGACTCTCGAGATAACGCGGTCTCGCATCGATGCGAGATACGATCGAGAATATACGTAACGAAGATGAAAAATTTCGCCCGATAACTCGGCGCCAGTTTTCGGGCGGCCAGTTTTCTGCGTGCAGCCGCTTCGAGATATCCGGCACAATGCCGCACCGTGGATAATTAGACCATCGCGCGCGCGCGGGCAATCCCCGCGTGGATTTGCGTATACGCGATTACGCGTCGTCGAGGCACGCGAGATCATTTATCACTCGGCGCGCCCCGGCGGCCCCCGAGAAGCGGCGGATCGTCCATTATTTCACTTTGCCGAGCATTAATCGGCAGATTCGGAGTCCCCCTATATACGGCCCCGGCGGAGTCGGATGTCTCTTAACCGCGACTCCGGGAACGACGCTCGCCCCGTATCAGCTCGCATCTTTGCGCCTTTTCGCGAACCGACTTTCTCTCCTTTCGCGATTCACATTGCGGCGAACCGCAAGCTAACGTTATCTCGTTAATTACCGCCCCAGGAAAACCTGTTTTTTTCACGCGCGACATTGGAAAAAAGCAGCTTTACGCGCGCAATTTAATTTCTTTAAAGAAACGTTATTACATCATCCGTTTATAACACACGCGACTCCACGCGATTCTTGCAGACCGAAATGGAGACGGAGTCCGAATGCGCAGACGATGTCCTGTGCCCGAAGGCCAACAACAACAATAACAATAACAACACCAGTAACAACAACATCAACAATGTCGCCGTCGCGAAGAAGAGCGGCGGCGATAACGGATACGACGCCATGGAGATGGACTGCGGCGGCTGCGGGGAGAGCGTACGCGAGCGCACCGTCCTGTGCGTAGGGGGTCGCACCTGGCACTCGAGATGCCTAAAGTGTTGCGCCTGTGCGAGGCCCCTGCACGACCAGCACTCCTGCTTCCTGCGCGGCATGCGGCTCTACTGCAGGCACGATTACGCCCTGTAAGTGCAAACACAATACATTTGCATGCCCGAATTTGCCCTCATCCCTAATTCTCTCGCCGGCCCGGTGAATCGCGCTCACGGCTACAGCGATCCGAACGCAGAATCCCCCGCGCCCGCTCAAATCAGCTATCCCGGAAATCTGTCTGTCCCGGACGCAGACGTCGCTTCGTATCTCATTCGACGGACCCGTACGTCGTTCGATCCGCGAAAGACGGGGGGGGGAGAAAAGAGTCGACCTGTCCTCCGCGTGCACGGATCCGCATTCCGCGCGTTGCTATCGCGAGTCGGGGGAGAGGAAGGGAGGAGAGGATTACCCGGACGTTATCGATGAGCCCGGCAATATCCCGCTTCGTCGAGGGCAACTTACGCGGACGCCCCGCTGACGCGATTCGAGATCGAGCCGGCCTAAAGCCCGGCTTAAGAGGACGCGACTCCGGCTACCGTGGCTACCAACCCCTCCCTGGTCCCGCGTTCGCCTAGCGGGTGGCTTGTCACACGAAAAACTCATATCCGCTCGATTTCGTTTCTCCTCAATGAAGACTCGTTCGATCGAGCGTATTATCGAGATGTTCGGTTCCGCGCCGTTGACCCGTTAAGGATCCTTTGTTCTTCGCGCGAAACACAGGCACCACAGGCTGGAGGATCGCGCGAATCGTCTTCCCTCCCTCGAGTCACGTGGGCCCCTCGTCCGCGCGTGTTGGGTATACGGATGTGGCATTTCTACATCGATAGACATCCATAAGCGCGCGTATTGGGTGTCCGAGACGCGGCGCGCTCGCGAGAGTCGCCATTGGGTGATTAATGTCTTCCAATGTAGTCTGCCTCTCTTCGTCTTCTTCTTCTTCTTCTTCCTCTTCCCCTCCTCCCCCCCTCGGACCTCACGTATAGCCGGCTATTCACGTCACCGTGCATTCGTGTATCACGCATGCTCACGCACAGCACGAGCTGCGAGTCACGTTGACGTCTCCCGACGTCTCACTGTCTCGCGTGCGTGCGCGCGCGCGGCGAACGCGGAAAAAAATAAATACCCTGTCCCGGCTCTTTCGCGAGATCCCTCTCGCTTGCGGCTTTCACGCCTCCCCGCGCCGTCATTTTTGCCCTCCCGTCTATAAGACGCGCGTAATCCGTTTATATACCTTAGACGCGTATCTTTCGTTACGCGATACTCACGAAGCGTTTCTCAAGTTCTGTTCGGGCGACAGAGAAAGAGAGGAAAAGACGAAGAGGGAAAGAGGGAGGAATGGGAGAGGGAGGGGGGGGAGGGCTCGAAAGGTCCGACGATACGAAAAATAACATGCTAGGATGGCTGCGATATAGCTGGCGGGGAAGGAATCGCCCGGCTATCATTAATTTATCAATGTCCCGAAAGCGGGTTACTTCGCGCTTCGTGATTCCGTATACCAAATATACCGGCGTACGTGTATGTGGGTGCCGAGTCACTCGAGATGGGACTGCCTAGTGTCAGTGTTCCGGAGGACTGAGGAATTCGCCTCGTAAGGCACCGAAGCCAGCTGCGATCCTCGAACCGTTCCTTCTTCCCGCCTTCATCCGAGTGCGAGCCGCCGCGCGCGGTGCTTCTTTTCTTCAGGCGAGCGAGGGAGCGGAGAAAGAGAGAAGGAGACAGAGTGGGAGAGAGCGAGAGAAAGAAATAGAGTGGTCTTTGAAATTAATAAATATTCACCCGATCCCCCGGGCCCCGCGCCCCCCCGTCCCTCGACGCCGGGGGGCCCCTCAATCCTTTCCCCGCTTTCGTCGCTTTCGTACGTTTCGATCGAAAAAAAAGAGGAACGTGATTCGTGACCCCCCGCTCGCGCGCGCTGCAAAAATCGCTCTATTAGCGATTTCCTCTCGCCACGGAGATTCCGGTTTTCTCGAATCGGCGCGGGATCAAAACGCAGAAGCGACTCCGCATCGCCCGACGCGACGCGACGCGACGCGACGTCGGCAGTCGGGACCACCTGTCGCCGTAATCGCGGCGTTATCTTTTCCACCTCGCCGGCACTTAAGGCCGCATACCTCGCGGGTGCCGAGGAACACTCGAAACGCAGCGAAAACGATCGCGCGGCGATTCTTCGAGTTGGCGAAACGTGGGACCGAATAATGCGTTATACATATATTGGAGCGATAACGTTTTTGCGATTGGCTGCATATCTTTCTCGATATCGTTCGCCCAGAGATATGTGCAAACAAGGACCGCCGCGTAAGTTATGACGAGCTGTTCGGTCTGCGCCGCTACCGAGATGCAATTAACTCGAATCGTACGATGCGGTACGTCGCCCTCGCGCGATCCTCGATCGCGGATCCGCGCATGTCGCGCCGGCGGGGTTCGATCGTGCCCTCTCTCGTACCGGGGGCGAGCGCCCAACTTAATCCCCCGTTGACTTATAGGGCCCGCCTATGTGGAAGAACAAATGAATAAATTAGGGCGGGGCCGTTTGGTAGCCGACGCGCGTGTACGGCCCTGAAGATTTATAGATACCCAATACCAGTTCTCGCGCCGCCGCCGGATACACGGGATTCCCCTCGTCGCCCTCTGCCCTCCTCGGTGTGCGTTAAGTCTTCGCGCTCCTCTGGGGTACGAAACCGTATATAGGGGGATAGACAGCGGACGCTATACCGCATTTACCTGAAGCGACACTCGCGTCGGTCGGCGACAGATCCACGATGGAAGTTCTCCTCGAGAAAACTTTTTCAATGTCGTCAAACTCGCTTCTTGCGGATATACGCGAGGAGGGTCCCTCGAGAGGGATCGTGCAGATATAGGTGTTAATTTCAAGTAATAATTGGTTGAAATAATCGGGACGCTTCTCGTTTTTAGAAGACAGAAGACGGTCAAGAGAAGGATGGATCGTAGAGCGATCGTTCGTGTGATCGGTATAAACCTAGCTTCTAGGCGTGCCCTTTGCGCGATCACCATAACCAATAATATCCTCCCTCTCCCCCTGCCCCCTCCCGAAAACATCGCGTCATGCGACGATGACTATGCAGACGCGAAGACTAATCCCTCCATGAGCTTACCATATTTTTCCATACAATAACGCCGTGGTCGATCGGTCGTTGATGCATTCTTCTACTTCTTCTTCTGCTCCGTCTCTATGCTCTCTTCCTCCTGCTCCTTCTCTTCCTTTTTCCTCTTCTCCTTTTTCTTTCCTTCTTTCCTATATGTCTGTGTCTCTTATCGATCCTTTTTCTTTTCCTCCGCTTTGCTCTCCGTCTCCTCTTCCCGTTCCCCCTTCTTTTCTCCTTTTGCGTACGCTCCCATATGATCTCCGCTGAATTTCACAGCGAATTCGGTTGGACGCACTAGCGAACACTGATGAATATTACAGTCATTTGTACACTGATCTATTTTAACAATAAATACAAAAGTAAAATGCAAATATTTCGAATTATAAAATACATACTTTGCCAAATAAAACAATAAAGAATATTGAGAATTTCGCGGAATTAACCCGTTTCTATATTTATATTAAACACAGATCTTTAAGTCACTTTGTGTATGACAGCTTGTGCAACAAATAATGCGCATTGATAGCGCACACTAGTCCGATAGAATTAATTTTCTCCGCGTTACTCTATCGTGCGCAATAATTATTTCTCCACAGCTTCCTTCGGCCTCTTTTCCCGAGTACCCTCTAGCGCTAGATCCTCTCCGCACATCTCGTCGGCACGGATTCAAAGAGACCGAGCCATTTGTATAGGGGTCGGAAGCCTCGCACAACTGAGACATCGAAATAATCTCGACGTAATCTACTCCTTGAATCGCGATACCGATCCTTAAACCGAGGAGGCTCCGATGCTCTCGTCGAGAGGACATCGAGTGGCTGAGTAGTATGTTAATGAGGACAGGACTGCCGGCCGGGTCCTCGCGCTCTCGGAGGTCTCAGATGAACCTGCCGTCAGCGGGATAAAAATAGTTTTTTCGCCTGGTGTCCGCGCAACCGAATCTGAATCTCGCGCCGCGAGAAAGAGAGAGCAATCCGCGTTTATTAGCCATTCGTGGTTCTGCGCGCCTCCTCTCCAAAAAGAGAGAGAGAGAAAGAGAGAGAGAGACTCGCGCCCGAATCGATGAATGATGAATGACGGTAAGTGAGTGATAAATGGGCGGTACACCAGTACACCGATCGGCCGAATCTGACTCCCTTTGTCATTGATTACGTCGATTAACTTTTTTAACGCTCGCGCGCGTTTGGAAAGTTGACGGCGGCCACGTTCACGCGTTGCAGCTTTCACACGGGAGAAATTCCCGCCGTTCGCGTTTTTGCAGAACATTCGGCGCGAAATGCGCGAAATGCGGGCGCAGCGTGGGCGCCGGGGATTGGGTGAGAAGGGCCAAGGACCGGGTCTACCACTTGGCCTGCTTCGCCTGCGACGCCTGTTCCCGTCAACTCTCCACGGGCGAGCAGTTCGCCCTCCTGGACGCCCGGTTGCTCTGCAAGGCCCACTATCTGGACGTGGTCGAGGGTAACAATACCTCCTCGTCGGAGGACTGCGATTCCGAGCACGGCGGCAAAGGTAGCAAGACGAAGCGAGTGAGGACGACCTTTACCGAGGAGCAGCTCGCGGTTCTGCAGGCCAACTTCCAGATGGACAGCAATCCCGACGGGCAGGACCTCGAGAGGATAGCTCAGGTGACCGGCCTCAGCAAGAGGGTCACGCAGGTTTGGTTCCAGAATTCGAGAGCGCGACAGAAGAAGCACAGCGGCAAGATCAAGACGCAGAGTAAGCATCTCCGTTGTAACGCTTTCGCGTAACGAAAGGATATCTCGAGGTATCTCTCGAGGATTCAAAACGCCTATTTTCGTGTGCTTGCAGTGCATCACTCGCCGCCGATGCACCATCACCCGGTCGACCTGTATTCCGGAGGGATCAATGTGGTCGGCGCTTATCTCGGCGGTTATCAGGTCAGCAATGCCGGTAGCGAGAGTCCAGGTAGCCCGTTAACGCCCCTCACACCTTTGACCCCGCTCACACCGACGACGCCGAATCACTTGCAGGCCCAATTCTGCCATCCCGCAGGATAATCCGGTGTAAATGTTTCCGCGAAGCCGTTGATATTGACTCTTTGCAATTTGTGCTTGTGCTTTCAGTTGCCGCAAGATCATATAATTTACAGGTACATACAAAAAGTCGTGATAAGATTTTGCAAAACCTAAAAATTATGTTCATTTCTTTCTTATTTTCTATGCGTAAAAGGATCAGGTGAGAAGATGTATTATGAGCTGATTGATACGCACTAATTCCAAATTATTACCGAATGCGAAGAATTAACAATTATACATCACATACGAAGGAATTCTTAAAGCAAATTAATTTGTGTATATATTCCGAAGAGAAGTGTAAAATAAGCGCGCGTTTATCGTTAGTACAATATGTAATGAAAGGTACAAGTTTTTCGTATTTAAAGTTAGATTAAGCTTATTTATTCTGAACGTGTAACAATTCACATTCTATTTCCGACGGTGAATAGAATCTCTTAGACGATGCGAGACGGAGGTGGGAAAATGCAACTCCAGATTGTCGCGTCCGTCTTTCGAAAAACTTCGACGTAGATATTCTTTACTCTACCTATAGTACGAAATTGTATATAGAGCGAATTGTAGTTTTTGTACATATGTCTTCTGTAGGTAAATATAAGAATATTGTGGAGAGAGAGAGAGAGAGAGAGAGAGGTGTGAAGATCATAACTTGATATCGCATACTTGTCGCTGCAATATTATAAACCGTACTGTTATTAATAAAACGCCTTTTATTGTTAACCGTCGCAATTATTATTATTAGCCTTTAATTTATTATACACTTCTCTGCTTACAGACGTTACAGACAATTAGAAGGAATGTCGCGCGGGAGATATCCGGAGGGAGATGTTCAGATTGGTCAAAAGAAAGGCCATACTTTTGTTCAACGTGTGCAATCGCATATATTTATATACGTTTAGTTTACAATATTTACATCACAGGACATATTGAATGATTTTACACGACTATCGAGATTACTACGAAAGATACTTTCATTTCAAGCATTGCTACGAGACGTGAACGGAATTCCGTCGACGGCGCGACGGCGATTACGTCTCCGATGACGTTCAGGGCACTGATTATGTAACTTATATGCGCGATTCCGATCGGGATTGCGAGTTTCTGAGTCACGAATTTCCGATCACGATTTCATCTGTTCCATGTGTTTTCAGAATTATTATAAGTCATTGTCAAAATATATAAACGGAACCAGTTTTTTCCGTGTCTTTAATTGTAAGTATCGCTAATTGTATTATAAACGTAAAATGAAAGTAGATACACTCAAGTATCTATTTTGTGTGGAACATTCAAGTTTTGAAAAAATTTCGAACGTCGTAAGCAGCGATAGGATGACAAATAACGTAAGTAAAACTATTAATATTTAATTTTTCTAATTTTATATCTATTACAATAAAAAAGTTTAAAAAATTATAATTTGTGATAATAAAACAAATAATCAAATGTCGATTTTCAATATAATTTTTATAATATTAAATAAATGACAAATTAATTTTTATCATATAATCTTGTTCAACACGTTAATAATATAATTAATTAATAATTAATTTAATATATATATTAATATCGCGCAACTTGTTGAAAATTAGCTTGTCATTATTTAATCGTCGTACAAACAATTATATATTTAAGAATAAGGCTTAAATTTTTGTTAGATTTATTAAAATAGCACGTTCAAAAAATCGCAAACTTTCCGATCATTTCGAATACAATTCGAATGTTCATAGTAAGTCGAGTGGACGAGAAACGGAATCATTCCGAACGAAATCACTTCCGAATAGATTCATAATAAATACCCTACATATCCGCTTCTTTTTTTACGCCTATATTCGCTTCATTAAAGCGATCCTCTTCTGGTTGCATCGATTCGAAAGGAAGAGAGAGAATGGAGAGACGAAGGAGAAAGAACAAGTACAAAATCATCACACACAACCGAGAAAGAGGTAGGCAGACAGATCGATTCAAAATTGCAGACACAAAGTTACACACGCATACGCACACACGCACACATGTACACACATACACACACGCAGGCACGCTCACATCACACATCGCACACACATACATACACGCATGTATCTTTTCGCGTGTAACGCGGAACAATACTGGTTCCAGTATAAGTTTAACACCGAGAGCGCGAGATATATGTTGCGAGCGTTAACTCGAAAAGTGCGTCATTGAAGAGCGACGAGCAAATTTTCACTTTTCTTGAGGATAGAGATATGCGAATCAAGGTGTTTCGATGCCGAATCGAATTGAGTTTCATTTCTTTGTTCGAATCCGAAGTGACGAAATTTTATCCGAATCGTTGAAACAATTAATTTTTAATTAACAACATAATTATTGTGTTAGGTTGAATATTTTAATATGTAGATGATAAAAGAGAATTTCTATCTGCGTTTAATTTACTAACGGGAAATATGATTTTATAAGATTCTGTCAATATATGTGATTCGTATTCGAATCTCTTGATTCGATTTGATTCGTATTCGAATAATTTGCACATCTCTATTTGAGAATAAATAAAATTATAGCATTGAGCGATGCTTCCCCGAGAGGCGTGGTATCTCCCTCTGCCATTTAACGCTTTTTAAAGCAACGCCGTGTATTTACAATGTAATCGAAATTTCGCCATTAAACCTCGTTCGGCATAGACAGCAGCATCGAGTCTTGCGAGAGCTCGTCCATCGACTGCTCCGACCCTGAGAACAGAGTTAATAGAATCGCGATTACACGTCTACACGATCCGTTCTCTAATTGATCATCGAATTTCCCCGATCTGGAGCCTTCGATTATACATAGTGACGATCTTTCACGCGAAGCTCTCCGACACGCCGCGATGTTGCGAATGATCTCTTACCGTGATTGTGATAAATGGAGCCCGTCGGACTCTTGCACGTGGCCGGGCTGAGCTGCGGTTGCTGTTGCTGCTGATGCTGTTGCTGATGTTGAAACGAGTACGTCAGATGCAGGTTGATGTGACGGCCGAAATCGTTGGGCGACGCAGTGGAGTTCGGTGGCGATTGGTGCACTGCAAAAATTCATCATCCCTTCGGTGCTGATAATTTCCATTGTTATCTGTCGATTGCACATAATCGCGACGACGCCTCGAGGAAATATGGAGGGGCGTTCGCGATGTCTCTTACCGTGCTGGCCCTTCATCTTGCCCGTGTGAAGATGCTTCTTCTGCCTCGCCCTCGAATTTTGGAACCACACCTGCGTCACCCTCTTGCTGAGTCCGGTTACGTGCGCTATCCTCTCGAGGTCCTGGCCGTCGGGATTGCTGTCCAATTGAAAATTCGCCTGGAGAACGGAGAGCTGTTCCTCGGTGAAGGTGGTCCTAACTCTCTTCGCCTTGTTGCCGCCCTTGTGACCACTCTCGGAGTCACCGCCTTCTGCGAAAGTACCAATTAGCCGTACCTACCTTCCACCCTGTTACGCGATCCTGTTGCTCGTTCGGTGCGCGTTTTATACAGTATAAAAAGGATCACGAACAGTATACTTCTAAATGATCATCAAGGTAATTTAACTCCCTATTACAGTAATTATTTGAAGAAATGATGTAACGCTATAAAGTACAAATTTACCTACTTTTACTTTATTCGCACGTAAAGACTTTGTATCCTACATGCTCTTGAAATCTCACATATCATACGAGTTTTCAAAATACTTTTTATGTCGACAGATTCTCGGCGCGGGCAATGACACGTTCGCGCGACATTCTCACCATCGGAGGAGGTGTTGTTGCCCTCGACGACGTCGAGATAGTGCGCCTTGCAGAGCAATCGGGCGTCCAGGAGGGCGAATTGCTCGCCGGTCGACAGCTGACGCGAGCAGGCGTCGCATGCGAAGCAGGCCAGATGATAAACCCTTTCCCTGGCCCTTCTCACCCAATCCCCGGCGCCCACGCTGCGCCCGCATTTCGCGCACTTTGCACCGAAAGTTCTGCAAAAACACGAGAGGCGCGGTATAACTCGCGCTCGTGTTATAACTGCGTAAACTGCCGCGGACACGTCTATATATATTTATAAGCGTAAGTACTTATCGTGGCGCGTCTCGGATTTATTTTGCGATATACATTACAACGACAGCCAATAATAGCCGACTCGCTCGACACTCGATCGAACGAGTATATACATACATACGAGGGGTGCAATGATAACCGCTCGAATATATCTCGGCGGACGGCCGAAGGAGAAGAAGAAAGCGAAGGCCGACGCGAAGGTAGCTCGAGAGAAGAGGAAGAAAAGAGACTTAGAGAAGAGATATTCGTGTCCGAGGAGCGAGTGGTCTCCATCGGCGCGTGTTTCGCGGCCGTTTATTTCTTCGGCTCCTCGCTCTTCTCGTTCCTGCCTCCTCCCGCCTCCCGCGAGCATCTTGGAAGGATCTTGCGAGAGGAGAACGCGCGACGCGAGATATCGCCTCTCTCCCTCCCCCCCCCCCGAGAGATATATACACACCTTCGCGCCTTCCGCGGTCAATACCCGCGCGTACCGGGCGCGCCGCGCCGGTAATCCGAGGCTCTTGCGTTTTAATTAACCCCGGTTGTGCGCGCGCGAGAAAGCGATCGGAGAATTATACAATAGCCTCCCGTGCATTAATTAGTCGGAATTATACAGGTTGGCGGTCGTACACCTCGTCGAGATCCTCGCGGCGGTGCCGGTCGCGCCGCGATCTCTTATAATAAAGTGTATCGCATGCTCGCATGTAAATCTCGCCGGGATCGATTTTAAATAATACCACGCAGCGCCGGGTAAATGCGCGCGTTCGCGCGATAGGATCCCCGGCTGCTATACCCCGGACGGCCGTAAACGGTAGCCGTGTACCACGGCCATGGACACACGAGCGAGCACGACGACCGGATGAATGGACGAGGGGGAGG